GACACCACAGTGGCTTGTCGTTAATCCGTAATTTGTCTCCTGAACTATGTGTTCAGAAGGAAAATGTTTTGTCTCGTCAGTTGTTTGGCGCTAATCCTCGTGAAAGTGTCAGGAGTGCTTCTCCCCACTGATGTTGTCTTTGTGTTTTAGTCATTTGGATCAAGGCACAGATGCAGCTCCTAAGCGGTGGTAGGTGAGTAGATCAGACCTACCACAAAGTGGTCAAAGACCGAAATCCCATTCACTGCATCCATGTTTCCCTCGTGCCAGGCCACGAGTTCCCAATTAACTGTGGGTCGCAGCACGGCTGGAAAAAATCCTTCCGCTTCCAAGCAGGACTTGAACCTGCTACCCTCTGTTTCTCAATCATGGTCTTAGACCATCCCACTATGCCTGGCTGCCTGATCCAAGAGGGTGGTGGCGTTCTTGCGGATGCGGAAAACTGGGCCTTTGGCCGAGTCTCACGCGAACCGTGAAATATTAAATACAAATAATCTACGTGGAGATGAAAGTTTAATAATAGCTATGAAAAGTATGAATGCCGCAGACATCACCACACAACATGACAATTTGTTCAAGGTTTTGTTTTGTGTGTTTCCAAAATCGATTTTCAAGCTCCGATCATTAGTGGAAATACGGAACTAAAGTGATCAAGGGAAAAACAAAGGTTAAAAATCCAAAGAAGTGTGACACATGACGGGAAACTTGTGGTAAGTATTACAAAAAGTGAGAACTTAGATAAAGAGTAAGTGTGACAAATGGGCATGAACAGTGCAGAAACAACTCATAAACGCGGGGTGCAAACTCACGAGAATAACCTAAGTGCTAAAACATGTTCTTCTTGCTTACACGAATCGGGCTTATGCGTAAGAATACAAACAGCTTCAAGGACCTTCAACTGCTGGACATAACGAGCACGACACAGAACAGAGAAGTGGGAATCATCATACACACTCAAACAATCGGGACGAGATAACAAATGCAAGTACACAGCTGTTTTCTTACGAATTTCACCCTAATCAGCTCCATCACCTTCCCTGCCACCTAACTCCTCCTCGTCCGTTTTATCACCATCACCACCAGCCGTCTCATCGTCATCCGTCTCGTCGTCATCCACCGCCTCGTCATCACCCGCCTCGTCGTCACCTGTATCCTCGCCCTCATCCGCCTCGTCGTCATCTGTATCCTCGTCATTTGACCTGTTCTGCTGAATTATTTTTTTCCACACGTATAGCGTGAGGTTCTCGATCTATGCTTTTGCGGTAGCTCTATAAATTGCTTTATTTTGCATTTTTCCATTATTCCCTGTACTTACCCATGATTCGAAGAGAACGAAAACGTTCGGCAAATCGGCTTACTTCACTGTGTGGATTGCGTCGGTGCGGACACATTTTCTTTCAAAAATTGGATACGCCTCCAATTTGTCCTTAATGAAAATAATTTTTTATATTCTTGTATGACTTGCACTACTACGATGCATGTACAGGTAGTATCACTGTTGCCAATCACTGGCAAGTTGTAGTTGCTGTGTGGTCACCAGGAACAGAGCTGAGCATTGGCTCAATTTCCTTCGGGCATTATCCGCCAGGTACCTCATGTATACTGGCACTGATTCATCTTTAGCCACTGGAAGGTGTAATAAAAATAATAATATTAACTGGTTTGAGGGAAAGAGACAAACGGGAAAAGTCTGAAGAAAAAATTGACTGTCACCACCAGGACTCGAACCAGCGACCAACGCTTGTAGCCAACGATGCTCTAACCACTGAGCTATGGTGTAGTCGTCGTCCCAGCAGAGACCGTTCAAAGTTTTCTTCAGACTTCGAAACTCACACTTCCTGTGAATCCACACAGGCGGGTGGGACGCAAATAATAATAATAATAATTTCAAATTTGTACTTAAATAATCGACGCGGAGACAACAATTTTACAATAGCTATAAAGAGAACAAGTTATGCTGTCATCGCCACACTACAACGAAGTCATGAAGGTTTACCAAAATCGATTTTCTTGTCACAATCATCAGTGGAAAGCCGTGACTGAAGAATAACCAAGCCAAATCAATAATTTATATACATTCAATAATGTGTTACAAGACAAAACAAAGTGCTAAAAATAGAATGAGGGAAGGTGAGACAATAAAAGTAAAGTGAGAGCTAAGTGCAACAGGGGGTGAGGAACGAATTGCAACGCTAGAACTGTGTAGTGAGACAAACAATCATGCTGTGCACCTACGAAAACAATCTTAACGCAAGTACATGTTTCTTCTGCTTACAAAGATCAGGCTTATGCAAACGAATACAAACAGCCTCAAGTACTTTCAACTGACTAGAGTACCGTGCACGACAAAGAACAGAAAAACTAAAATCATCATACACCTGCAGACACTTAGGGTGAGACAACAGATGAAGAAAAACGGCAGACTTCTTACGATCACAATCACCATCCGATTCCTCACCGGTGTAGACACTGGGAACAGAAGATTTAGCAACAACAGGAACAACAACAATGACAACAACAGCAATAGTAACAAATTACCATCAAGATCAAAGAAGGAGTCAACGAACAGAGGTTCAGCAAAGTGAAGCGAGCCTGGGACCGATCGGTGGTGATGAGGAGAATGACACGGAGAACGACACTGAGGAAGAGTTGGAAGATGAGACGGGGGACGAGGTTGCGGTTGGTAGAGACGAGGAATCGGATGGTGATTATGATCGTAAGAAGTCTGCCGTTTTTCTTCGTCTGTTGTCTCACCCTAAGTGTCTGCAGGTGTATGATGATTTTAGTTTTTCTGTTCTCTGTCGTGCACGGTACGCTAGTCAGTTGAAAGTACTGGAGGCTGTTTGTATTCGTTTGCATAATCCTGATCTTTGTAAGCAGAAGAAACACTCAACCTGCGGACAGAACTGTTTCGTCCTTTGTGGACTCGTCAGCGCAGCACAGAGGAAATGAGGCCGAACCTGATAGCAATGGAAATAAAAATTTCCAATCAGGTCCAAACGTACCTTGCCAGAGTGCTCAAACTGACAAGTCAGTGAGCTCTGCATAACGCAAACAGCAAAGGCACTACCCTACGCAAGAGTGCTCAACAGCTACAAGAGCAGGAGCGGAATACTCAAACTGCGGACAGAACTGTTTCGTCCTTTGTGGACTCGTCAGCGCAGCACAGAGGAAATGAGGCCGAACCTGATAGCAATGGAAATAAAAATCAGAAGAAACATGTAGTCGCGTTAAGATTGTTTTCGTACGTGCACAACATGATTGTTTGTCTCACTACACAGTTCTGGCGTCGCAATTAGTTCCTCACCCCTGTTGCACTTTGCTCCCACTTTACTTCTATTGTCTCACCTTCCCTCATTCTATTTTTAGCACTTTGTTTTGTTCTTGTAACACATTATTGAATGTATATAAATTATTGATTTGACATGGTTATTCTTCAGTCACGGCTTTCCACTGATGATTGTGACAAGAAAATCGATTTTGGTAAACCTTCATGACTTTGTTGTAGTGTGGCGATGACAGCAGAATTTGTTCTCTTTAAAGCTTTTATAAAATTTGTACTTACCGGAGAATTTCAAAGTTTTTAGGAAAATAGAGGCCACATGCCACGTACTGTATTTTTCTCGCCGAAACTCAACACTTGCAAGCCAGGTATGAAAGAAAGAAAAAATCATCAGTCACACCACCGGGACTTGAACCAGGGGCCTTGCTATTCGCAAGCAATGCTCTAGCCAACCGAGCTCCAGTATGACTCTTATCCACAGTGATGGTAAATCTATCCGTCTGCGATCAATTCATATCTGGCTTGCATTATGCTGGCAACTCCCACCAATCATAAGGGCCCTGGGACATTCGCTTGATATCCTGGGGAGCGCATCAAACTATGTCCACTGCGGGAAAATACAAATTGCAATTTCAAATTTGGACTTCACGGAGAATTTCAAAGTTGTTAGCAAATTAGAGACCACGTGCCACGCACTGCTTTTCTCTCCGAAGCTCAACACTTGCAAGCCAGATATGAAAGAAAGAAAAAATCATCAGTCACACCACCGGGACTCCAAGCAGGGGCCTTGCTATTCGCGAGCAATGGCCTAACCAACTGAGCTACAGAATGCCTCTTATCCATAGTGATGGTAAATCTAACCTTCTTCGATCAATTCATATCTGGTTTGCATTATGCTGGAAACTGACACCAATCAAGAGGGCCCTCCGCCATTCGCTTGATATCATGGGGAGCGCATCAAACTATGTCCACTGCGAGCAAATACAAATTGCAATTTCAAATGTGGACTTCACGGAGAATTTTTCACTGATGATTTTTTTTCTTTCATATCTGACTTGCAAGTGTTGAGTTTCGGAGAGAAAAGAGCAGTACGTGGCATGTGGCCTCTAATTTGCTAGCAACTTTGAAATTCTTCGTGAAGTCCAAATTTGAAATTGCAATTTGTATTTGCTCGCAGTGGACATAGTTTGATGCGCTCCCCATGATATCAAGCCATTGGCCCAGGGCCCTCTTGATAGGTCCGAGTTGCCAGCATGATGCAAGCCAGATACGAATTGATCGAAGACGGATAGATTTACCATCACTGTGGATAAGAGTCATACTGTAGCTCAGTTGGTTAGAGCATTGCTCGCGAATAGCAAGGCCCCTGGTTCGAGTCCCGGTGGTGTGCTCTTTTGTACTCTATATTCTAGTCTTCTACCTCTTCTCCCCTATGAACATACTTTCTCATTTTCCATATTTAGTTAGGAGACTCCCTTCGATATGCATCTGTCTGCCTCTGGAGGATCCGTGAAATTAAAATCAAGAAATCAATGATGGGGCGTTGATGGATCTGCCGCCTGAGGTCTCCGCAGCACGGCCAGATACACGCTGTTATAAAGGTATCATTCGCAAAGGGAAAAAAACATGTATGTACATGTAGATGTATTGTTCAGTGGCATTCTGTGCGTGCTTCACTGTATTATGTGCGTGCTTCACTGTGTTCTCTGCTTTATAGCGCCCTCAGGCATAGCTGTCAACTCAACGGACACTGGAATATATGCACGCATATTGCAGCCACAGATACTACGAGATTGGGTACCAGAATTCTGCTTTGTGTACGACAAAAATGACACTGTGGCTAAGCCAACTGTAGTTTGTAACAATAACGAGTCAATCGTGTTGTCGGGCCTGGAAACCAATACTTTGTACAGGGTCAGAGCATTCTTCAAAACTACGATCGGACACAATAGTAGCATGTCCCTTGTAGTCAGCATTGGAACAGTGCCTAAAGGTAAGGGATATCATTACATCAAACACCGACCACGAACAGGGGTGAAGAATTTTGTGAGATTCGTGTTGTACCTCGCACATTCCTTTTTGCATGGTCTCTTTCCCCAAATGACGTTCATATGTCAATTGCATGATTCTCAGGTCAAGCATTGCTGAATCAGGTTAGGGATTAGTTACCCGTGTGCCCAATTCATTTGGTTGATGGTGCAGTGATCAAAGGGAAGAAGTTAAGAAATGAAAAAAACATTTCTTCTCAATTATCCCATGGGAGATTTCCTTCTCCACAAATATGCATTGGAATATTAACAGGCCTTTTTAATGCAGACCGCAAATACTATGTACGTATGAACAATTTACTGATACATACGTGATCTGAATATGTTTTTATTAGCGCCAACATCGCCTGACAATTACGTCCTCTCAAGTACTTCCATCACTGTCTTTATAGGCCGAACAGAAGGCAAAAACCTTCCCATACTCCAGTATTGTGTGTACGGAAGGCCTGCAAATGATATATCTGGGAATATGACATCGATACCAGTGTGCAACGCGTCTGAAAATGTTACCTTGATTGGCCTGGCTCCAGGCATGACCTATAATGTCACCACCTATGTAAGCAATGCCTATGGAGACAGTGCTCAATCGACCTCCACTCGCATCACCACGTTGCATCAAGGTTGGCACATTTGTTGCACATGTGTAGCCTCGAGTTGGCATGAATTTAACCCCTCAATAGATGGTGGAATGTTTCGTTCGAATCGTTCAAAACCCAAAAACGTTACCGATTCTCCTCCTTCATACGTCTTGCTGTTCTCATATATCAATTGAGTTAACTTCTCTTTATGATTCTACCTGTAACAGATTGGATTTTATGGTTACTCTATAACACGTTATGTTCGGTGGAACTGTATTTTCGGTATTTCCGTTAGGGGAATCTGGCTACTAAAAAGGTACTAGAATAGTCACTGTATGTAAAGAAAATGTTGGTCACCTACATCTACATTTCACCAGAAAACGATATGGTTCCTCGCACCAAAAATACTTATTAGATTATATGTTGTCCAGAATCTGTTCTTGGTGATGTTTTCCCTTTTTTCATAGCACCAACAACTGATCAAGTCGACGCAACCAGTGGCTACCAAGCTAGCGCAAGCGGCTCCAAATCTGCAGTGATAATTGCGGGAGGGTCTGGCGCAGGACTGCTGGTGCTGGCTGCGACGGTTTTCCTGCTATGGAAATTAAAGTTGACACCCGCGAAACCTGATCCTGGTACGTAAAGTCCAGATTTGAAGCTTCTGAATAGTAATAGGGTTCCTTTTCCTTCTTTTCTGGAAAAGAGCGAAATTGATACATTCAGAGGTTTCAAAACTTTACCAAATGGTACTACGGCATTCATCTTACAATTCCAAGAGTGATGTTCTGGACACGTTTCTTAGAAATACTTTACCATCGAAAAATGATAACGTTACCGCTTCAGTCTGGCCTCTCTAACTCGAAATTCCTGTGTGGAAAAATAATACATGCATTCCTACAGGCCTCAGTGCATTGTGCATCATGGGCAGATACCATCATAAACTTTATATACATCATCGATCATGAAAATAATGTCTCGCGATATATCGCTTAAATAGATTTTTGGTTGGAGGAAAGCAAATACGCACACGAAGAACAGAAGCCATATTATTATTTGTAATAGCACTTGAAAAATAGCGCTAGTGGCGCCAACAGCATATTTAGCGGTCAGAGCATAGACCAAATAGCACTTTAAAGACAGCGCTAGTGGCGCCAAGTACACAGTGAGACAATGAATATTACCAGTATCAGACAACAGTGGGGACAACGGTACTACAATGTCAAAACAGTGACAACTTTCGCGCATACTTCTTTTGCACGCACAGTTCAGGCTTCAGCTTGGCAATGTACATTGCCTCCAGCACAGCAAGGTGGGATTTGTTGCGCGCACTCGCTTGAATGGTAAAGTGAGAGTGGGTGCCACTAGCGCTATTTTTCAGGTGCTATTTTTGTCAATGCTCTGCCCGCCAAAAGTGCCGGGTATAAGTACTTGCTTACTACCTTGTCAATCATCATTGTATTCGACCTGAAGAGTAATGGAATGAAAGGCCTAGTCGAAAACATTATATGGCTTCTGTGCTTCGTGTGCTGATATATTGTTTACCGCTGGCAACTGGGCATCATGTGTGCTTGTAGAACTCAATCACACCCCCAGAAGTCCATATTTAGCACTATAGACCTGCCCTTCATCTTACACACTTATACAATCGGAAGTGTGCATGATTTTCAGAAAGTTGAGGTTAACCGTACAACGGGAGTGAAAACATGCAACTCTATTTGCATTACCGAAAGGTGACACAAAGTTCATAGTTGGTATCTCATCCACGTATCCATCGTTCTGACAATATTATGTTTTCCTCTTTCAGTGCTGACTACCTGCCAACTGGACGTAAGAACTCAATCTGTTTCCCATGATGATGAACTTGATTTGGTTCAGAACACGCGCACTAGTATGGAAACCAATGAGGCGTACGAGAGCTGGATCCTGGCTAGGAATGATGCATATGGCTGTGTGGATTTGCGCGAGAATGATGTTCTTCGTGCCGGATGCGGAGCTGGGCGTGCAGAGGAAGGGGGACCGGCCACAGAAGAACAGCATTTTTATGTCAGCATCCAATAACGCCAAATGTTTTTCACAATTTTGACCGACTGATACATATCCTCAACGAAATGCAAATGATACAGTAGCATTTAACTCTGTTGTTGAGCCAATAGTAATATGTAAAGCGAAAAAGGACCTTTAAAATACTAGCTATGACTAACAGTCCACAAAGGTACAGAGATAATATAAAGCCAGGTGAAGTGTCAGATCAGTGTCATGTCGTTAAATGTCTCAATATACTTGTCAGTCTTGTGCCGTGCTGTCTCACTATCTGATGTTATAATTATTAACTCGTTACCTTGGCGGACAGTTAATTATAACTAGTAACTTATAGGGCCTTTTTTCTCTTTGCACAAAACTGTATCATGGTATACTTTTTCATGGCAAGCACGCGATATGTTGCAGTCTTTCTGAGTTTTTTCTTCATATCTCTCTGCCTCTAACTCCAGTAGCGCATGCATTTATCACTGATATACTCTCAAATATTTATTGCAGCTCTTGTGTCCTGATGTCACGCATCAGTATGGATATCATTTGTAACTTTCACAAGTAAGTTCAGTGCTAAACCGTTCGGAGCGAGGTCTTTGAAGTAATTTGCTATACATGTATGTTGACGGTGATTCGTAACCGAATCTCAATATCTTTATCACCGGAAGAATTACCATTGACATTATATATCCCACCTGTGCATTTAATCCCTGTCAGTAAATCCATTGCATAGCAGAAAATTGCAGCTCGTTCGTTATAAACTTGCAGCAGGTGTATTTTTTTTGCTTATTTTTATGATTCAAAAGTCGCTAGAATTTTATTCACACTATGTTTCTTTTTGGTAGCACTTCTCTCTAAATTTCGTATGCATAATCAGTATATCCGTTCACTGTGGTTATGGATTGTTTTATAAACATGTGCATAACAGTAGTGGTACTAGTGACGTGGATGGTATGAATATTGAGAAAGTGTTCGGGGCACTTCTCTCTGGTTTCCTCGGCCCTTATCTGACCCAGCTAGTGTTACCAAATTCCTATGTATAGTATTGGAATTTTGTACTCAGGAAAATGTGAGGACCACTTTCCTAGGGAGCATGTGTCTTGCATCAACTCCTACGAAATATCACTGGCCCAGAGCTGTATGTGAGAAGTGCGAGTCTTCTTTGCCCACCATTCAAAATGGAGATTGTTTCGGCTTTGAGTTATCAGGATCATTTCCAGGTATGCATGCATTATCCAGCAGCACTCGGTCGAAGGCTGGAGATTGGCACCCATCCGACTAGCATCCAGCTGGCAAATGTGGCGACATGATACGGATATTGTATAATAATGATTGTAGGTAAACAACAGAGAACCACACAAACCTTTTATTTTAATTTTTATTATTTTTATATTTCACGATGTCGTGACGCCAAGACGATTGATAAGTGTGATAAAAATGGTAGCGGTGATCACTTGTCACTCCAAACCACAACCCCAAAAGGATGATGGGGGACATTTCCTCAGTGCTAGAAGAGGTGTTTTTCTATCTCTCGGTGTATAGTGTTTGCTGATTGAGGACGTAGCTCGCTGTTTTATCAGCGCTTGTAATTTGGCTATTTTCAAGACGATCATTTGTGGCGTCAAGGGATTATTGCCCTCGTCTTCTGGGATGCTAGCGTGGCTAAGTAGTGCTGCCCCGAGAACTCTTCTAAGATGAGGTAATGTTGGCTTGATGGAGCTTGTTCTTCTACGCTGTGCCGTGGCAAGTTTGTAAACCCATACATCGTGCCCATAGTGGGCCAATATGGAGGGGCATGCCAATACAATGGTTCGCTTCAAAAGATTTTGCGCGGGCTTTGAAATGTCCATCTACATCCCAAAGCAAGCCTACCTGCATAATTTGAGCGAAATCTGAGAGATCTACTTGCACATGTGTTCTGCTTTTCGCAGACATGCTCTCTTGCTCTCTTAAGAGAGCATGTCTGAGAATACCAAAGTATGTGTGCAAGTGGATCTCTCCGATTTCGCTCAAAATTTGCAAGTAGGTTCCCTTTGGGGTGTGGATCGATTGTGCAAAGCCCTTGAAAAGGTTTGTGAAGGGAACCTTGAAACTTGCATACCGCTCAAAAATGGCCGAAATATCACATTATTTATGGGTCTAGAAACGAGTCACGCCCCAGCGTATACGAACAAGCTATGAACAAAACTCCATCAAGCCAACATTGCCTCACCTTAGAAGAGTTGCTGCAGCAGTACCGCTTAGCCACGCCAGCATCCCAGAAGACGAGGTCCATCACCCCCTGACGACACAAATGATTGTCTTGAAAATAGCCAATTTACAAGCGCTGGCAAAACAGCCAGGTACGTCCTCAATTCGCCAGAGCTATACACCGGCAGATAGTAGAACACCTCTTCTAGCGGTGAGGACATGTCCCCCATCTTCCTTTTGGGGTTTTCTTGAAATAAACTTTTTTGAATTTTTCCACTCGACCATGCTGAAATACGGCCAAAGTCATACCTGCGCAGGAAAGCTCGCCCCTCCACGACGTCTCCTCAGCAATTTCTACTCCAACACTACTCCCAAGGCCGCAGCACAAAGTGTAGTGTACTCTGACAAGGAAAAGCAGCGGTGATCACTTGTCACTCCAAACGACAAGCTTCTCCTTGCGCCACCAATAATTTTTTGTGCGACTGTTGATGCAAAAGTGACTGAAGGCCTGAGCGTAGTTTTTGAATTTTATTGCAAGATGCACAGTGAAATCACGTGCCTTGTGACGCAAGAATGCCAAGTCGCGTGGCCCACAGCTCAAGAGATTTCAGAGTCACCTTTGTCAAGTGCGATTGTTAGTAGATCTACTCGCCTTGAACGCCCGTTGGTCTGGAATAGTCCTTGAGCCAAAACTCAAAATCACAAGTGCCGTTGCACTCTCGGATGGACAAATCGCCGCTTACAGTGTTGGTCAAGGACATCACAAAGGATACGTTTTCGCTTGTTGGACGTTCCAGAACCGATCCAGAGACCTTCTCGAGGGCTTCTTTTCTCGACCAAATTCCACCGTGAGAACAAATATTTTTACGCGAGTGGTGAGGTGTGCGTCGTATGAACAAGCGCAAAACACGAGTTCGCGTGGAGTGAGGAAAAATAATTTATTTTTTAGAAGATGACGACGTTGACGACAATATCGACTTGGGATATTGTGATCACTTTATTGAAGTTTATTCCTTTCGTGTACATTGATGTTGTTTTGACAATAATGGAAGAAGAGTAAGACGTTTCTAGTGGCAGCGAGGTGCTGGATGAGGCAGCTGACGGCAACGAAGTGGCAAATGACAGCCCAGCGGAAAATGTACAGGTGTCGTGTGATTTCGCGCAATGTGTGTCACAGCGCCCAATTTAGTAAAAACGAGAAGCCTGCACTGAGTAATATCGAGACTACAAGTTGGTGTCGCATCGTCAGCGCTGCTCGAGAGAAGGACGACCATATCTAGGCTTTTCTCTGCCAGCACAAGAGCTCAGGGAGGAAAAAAATGGTGTGGCTGGTTTCATGGAAAGTGCTACACCAATTGCACCCATGTGATAGCAATTGCAAACCTGGAGAAGACCAGTGCCTCTGATTTTGCTTTGTCTATACTTGCTGACAGTGATGTGCATGTAGTAGTGAACCCAGAGCCACATTCTAAGGCCAGTAAGGGGCCACCTACCAGGAGCTTAGTGGTTGATACGAACAACGAATGCCATACCGGTAATTATGAAAGCAGAGCACGGTGTAAACACAACACGGAGAACTTGTTCACCCAGAGTTTCCGGAAGAGAGTGTTTTGTTGCAGGCAGCACTGGAGAGGGCAAGACGACAAGTAGCGAGGGCGAAACCAGCGCTGCTGGAGGTCCAAGCCAGAGCATCTGGCTGCTTTGCGGGCAACATACTACTGTATACCATTAGCTGTGTATGTGTGTGTGTGCACGTGTTTGTGTGCACATTTCTGGGTGTGCGTGTGTTTGTGTGTGTGCGCGTGCGCGTACGTGTGTGCGAGCGTGCATGTGTGCGCGTTTTTGTGTGTGTGCGTGTGCATGTGCGCGTGTGCATGTGTGTGTGCGTGCGCGTGCATGTGTGTGTGCGAGTGTGCATGTGTGTGCGAGCGTGCATGTGCGTGCTAGGCGTTTTCCTTTGTTGGTGACACCACCCCAGGCTACTACTGGTGTTGGGGCACGGTGTTGCCACAGCCACTGCGGCCAGTGCGATCCGTGTTTCAGGTCGTTGGTGGGTTTTAGATTCCGCAATTGTCGACAAGGTGTGCGCCATGTGTGTGTGTGTGTGTGTGTGTGTGTGTGTGTGTGTGTGTGTGTGTGTGTGTGTGTGTGTGAAACCCGACAGCATTGGTGTGATGTTGTCCGAAGAGACATCCATCACTTACATCTTGAAGGACATTGGTTCGACACTGCACAGCAGCGAGGAGAGTGGCGCACAGCATTCAGAATTGCTTCACCACCACAGCCGGCCTCCCGTGATCGGATTCAGTGTAGTATTTGTAACATTTCCTTTTCGAAGAGCGGCCTGCCATGCCACAAGTGTACTCAAGAGCGTCGCAAACCTGTAGCAGACCAGTCTGGCAGCAGCCAATGCACCGTATGTCTTCGCTGGTTTCGCAGTCATGGCAGACTGACATAGTCGGATTCGACAGCTGGTTCATGTGTGTGTGCGCGCACACACGTGTGCGCATAAGCGTGTTTGTGCGCGCGTGCCTGGGCGAGTGCATAGTCGGATTCGGCAGCTGGTTCATGTGTGTGTGGGCACGCGCGCGCGTGTTTGTGTGGATTCGGCAGCTGGTTCATGTGTGTGTGTGTGTGCGAGCGTGCATGCCTGGGAGACTGTATAGTTGGATTCGGCAGCTGGTTCGTGTGTGTGCGCGTGCCTGGGAGACTGCATAGTCGGATTCTTCAGCTGCTTCATGTGTGTGTGTGTGTGTGCGCACGCGTGTGGGTGCGCGCGCATGCATGCATGCATGTATGTATGTGACATCATCTTATATCGGTAGTTATCTGTGGATTACTATGTTCTGCGGTGGACTGCGACAGCACACATTATGTGCCAAGATGTGCACCTGGTGATTTGCAACTGTGTTATGTTGAGCTGAAAATGAGCAATGACAGATAGCTTTTGGTGCTGTATGAGTGTGTTAGGAAATCAATAGCCAATTCCAACCTCTTGCATTGGCCGTCAGGTTGGATAGGATCAGCGCGTGCATTTACAACAGTGGTGACGTACTTCCTATTGTACTACTGTAATGTCACATTAGCTTCAGTGTTCATATTATAATACTGGAGTATTCTACGTATTCACTACTATTCAGTAATCGAGTGGTTATTACTTTTGAAATATACTTCGCTCACCAATTCATTGCTCGCTATTATCTACAAGTTCCAGTCCAGTATGATGAAGTCAAGAGGCGATTTATCCAGCCAAGTAGAAGAACTTGGGATACGAAATCCAAGAGAAATCATGAGGGTTTTCTCAGTTCGGCCATTCACGAATGTAATTGTTATTCTTCAACGCAAACTGAGTAATATTTGACCTTGAACAGGATGAAAAGAAGTTCATGCTCGGGGCAGTCGTCATTTGCTCCAGAAGGTTACTCACTACAGTCTACTACGCCTATTGGCCTAGGAAGTGGTGAACAAATATGTCGAGAGATATTTAGGACATTCTTGTTAGTCAGCTCTGAACGATTGCATTGTAACTACAAACAGTAGTGACTTTGCTGCATGCCGTTTGCATCCCGATTCATAATTTTCAGCGGCAAAAAAAATTCGAATCTAGTTTTGTGCACTGGTTTCCGCGTTATGTGCACTCGTGGTACCTGCTCATGGCTTCAAAAAATGAGAATCCGTGAACAAGCGCAAAAACACCAAGCGAAGAAGGCGAAAATGGCCGCTGCTGTCAGTGAGCAAAGTTGGATGTTTGGC